GCCGGCAGACCACCTGAGATCAGGAATTTGAGACCAGCCTGGCCAACATGGTGAAACCTCGTCTCTACTAAAAGTACAAAAATTATCTGGGTGTGGTGGTACATGCCTATAATCCCAGCTACTTGGGAGGCTGAGGCAGGAGAATCGCTTGAACCCAGGAGGTGGAGGTTGCAGTGAGCGGAGCTGGTCTCAAACTGCTGGGTTCAAGTGTCCTTCCGCCTCAGTCTCCCAACGTGGTAGGATAACTGGAGTGTTTAGACCATTTATACTTAATGCTTTTCCTATGTATCTCAAATATGGTCCAAGTTACAAATAAACAACAGAAGTTTACAGTTATTGCTTTCCAAATTTATAATACATTATCTCCAATTATGTGTATTTGGAAAGTGTATTGTGCAACTGTTTGGTATGGTGTTCTAAATATGCCAATTATGTCAAGGTGGTTAATAATATACAAATCATTAAGATCCCTTCTGATTTGTTGTCTGCTTGCTCTATCAGTAACTGAGAGAGGTATGTTAACATCTCTAATTATGAAAGTGATTTCTCTTAGTTCTATTAATTTTTGCTTTATATACTTTAAGCTGTTATGAGGTATATACAAATTTAGAGTTATTATATCTTCCTTTTGAACGGACTCTTTTATCTTTGTGGGTTCAATCAATCCTCTGGCCTCAGTCTCCAGAGTAGCTGGGATTAAGTGCGTGTGCCACCACAACGGGTTAACTAAAAAAAAATAATAATTTTTAGTAGAGACAAGGTCTTGCTATATTGCCCAGGCTGGTCTCAAACCCCTGAGCTCAAGGGATCCTCCCACCTTGGCCTTTCAAAGTGCTGGGATTACAGGCATGAGCAGCTGCACCCAGCTTGACAATTATCTAATTGGAGTTGTTTTTTTTTGAAACAAGATCTTGCTGTGTCACCAAGGCTGGAATGCAATGGTGTGATCTCAGCTCCTGCAGCCTCAACTTCCTAGGTTCAAGTAATTGTCTCACCTCAGCCTATTCAGTAGCTAGGGCTATAGGCATGCATCACCATGCCCTGCTGATTTTTAAATTTTTTGTAGAGATGGGGTCTCATTATGTTGCCCAGGCTGGTCTCAAACTCCTGGGTTCAAGTGGTCCTTCTGCCTCCGTCTCCCAACATGGTGGGACAATTAGAGTGTTTAGGCCATTTATATTTAATGCTTTTACTGGCATAGTTGAATTTTAAGTGTATTATTTTGCTATTCATTTTCTATTTGGCTCATTTATTCACTTATTCTGTGCATCCTTGACTTATTACAAACTTGTTAATTTAGTACTTTTAACGCTTTTCAACAATGCAAGGATCTTTTTTTTTTTTTTTTTTTTTTTTTTTTTTAGATGGAGTCTTGCTGTCAGTGGCACGATCCTGGCTTACTGTAACCTCTGCCTCCCAGGTTCCAGCGATTCTCCTGCCTCAGCCTCTCGAGTAGCTGGGATTACAGGTGCGGGCCACCATGCACCATGCTTAGCTCATT